TTTATCATTTTATTTATAGATATTTTGACCAAGTAAAAGAGCTTAGTTTGAATTTGGTTGATTTTTTTTCTTTTTTAATTTGGGTTAAAGTTATTTCCTCAATCCACCCTACTCATCGGGAGTTGCACCCCGACATTCACCGTCTTACAATTTCCTCACATTATTCATGGCTTTGTAAAATTAATATTTTTTTTTCATATATAGTGAGGGAGAAGACATGAATTGATCTAATACATTATGCAATGAAATAGTTTGCGTATCATCATTCCCAAAAGTTTTTAGTCATGCAATTCTCAAAGTATTTTAGAAATTTGCTTGTTTTTTGGGTAAGTAATTTGCATGTTCTACTAAAGTAAATAATGAGATATCTTTCTAGACAAATTATATTATAGCCTTGAATAAATTTTCTATTTACAACTACCAGCGAACACTTAGTGAAACCAATTTCAGTAGCTTTACCATTTTTGTCTTATGTCTTTCTTTTAAAAGTTTTAATTGTTTGGTGTCTAGAATATTCCAACTGAACTGGCTTATCGCATGTGGTTATCTAGATGGTGCAATGCAATAATTTAATAACTCACACGTTTTATGATATAGCAATTTGGTTTTCCATATTAAGAATCTCTCTTTTTCCAATTATAATAGGTATTATATATATATATATATATATATATATATATATATATATATATTGGTCAGTAAAGCTATTATATTTTTCTAGAGTATTCTAACCATTATTGTAGATATTCTAATAGATTTTTTTTTTTTTTTTTTCAATAACTCTTGTATAAATAGGCATGCCGTGTGAAAATGATTCCTATCAATGAGTGAAGAGTATTTTTCTTCTTCAAAATTTTCAAATATGATAACAATTAACTAGTATGCCAAAGTTATTTAACTTTAACGTAGCCATTATTTTTTACGTGTTAAATAGCATATCAGTAATTAAGTTGTCACAAATCGAAAAATTTTCCATTTCAATACAATCAAAACTAAAATAATATGCAACATACTTCATCAAGACAAAGTTGTGGCTTCAAATCTTTCACGAATATTTGAAGTATGACTGTTTTATAGTAACAACATAATAAACAGATAAGAGGATACCTTCACATTAATTTTGCAAGCAAGTTAGAGATATATGAAAGCGAAGCCATGACTGTAATACCCCTAATTTTAAAAGGATAGTCTCGGCATTTTAAATATTTATTGTATTGCATTTTTATTTATTTTATTGTCTTTATTGCATTTTTATTTATTTTATTGTTTTTCATTTGTTTAATTGGTTATTTAAAATTTGAATTAAATTGGTTTTATGTGCATTATTTGGTTTATTTAAATTCTTAATTGTTTTGTCTATTTTCGTAAATTATTAATTGTATTATTTGTAATTCACTGTTTTAAACTTAGGAAATTAACTTACTATAATTCTTGTAATGTTAAAATTAAGTTACGTGAGTTTTTAAATACATTAATTGACTCACAGTTTCTTTTGGGCATCAACATAGAATTTAATCGTAGGTTTTATTTATGGGCCGACTAGGATTAAGATTAAGGCTCTGTCTCTAAAATTACAAGGATTAGGGTTTTAGAGTTAAACCTTTAAATACAACCATTATGCTTTAGCCTAGGGTTTACAATCATAATTCAGATTACATAAACGTGAAGTAAGTTCTTAGCACAGAGGGTTGTGAACGGAGGCACTATAAGAATTGTCAAGGAGAAGAACAGTGAGTACCAAGGGAGGATTTTGGTGGATTAGACCAGAAGCAGAGGAGGCTAGAAGGTAGTCTGTGGTTGCCGGAAGTTAGGACGACGGCGACAAGTTTTGAGTCTAAAACTACAGGCAAGTTCTTCTCTTCCTCCTTCCATCTGGCTCTTGTTCTGTGCACCTAGATAATCTCTAGGGTTTAATTAATTATTAAATCAGAACTTAAATGCTTACCATATAAAATATTGATGATCTCTGCGTGTTAAAATAAATTCTGTTAAATGTTTGCAAGTCTTGTTTCAGTTCTCTGTTTAAACATGTTTTGTTGTTAGCAATTTTAGTTTCTGTAATTATTTTTAACCTCTGTAAATAAATCATGGGGATGATTATGGGGTGTTATAGGACTCTAAAGATCAGTAGTGAAGAGGAACAGAGGGGTTGGACTAGAACTGTTATTGCAAAATAGTTGCAGATTTGTTCCTAACGCGTGTTAGTTCGGTAGCCAATTTAACCTCTGTAATTGATTCTAATGGTTGTTATCAAACCTTTGGGATGCTCATGGGTGTTAATAAGATGCTTAAAATCTATTTTAGAAACCAACAGAGTGGTAGGAATTGATCAGAGAAGGAGCAGATGGACTGAAACGAAGCAACGGGGACAGAGGCTCTCAAAGGAGGTGAGAGCCGGCTCCATGGATGTGGGAGCCGGCTCCCACAACAAGTAGAGCCCGCTCTAAGGACTCCTAGAGCCGGCTCTAGGCTGAAAGAGCCTGCTCCCAAAATTTAGAGCAGGCTCCCTTTGCAATATACGATTAATTTTTATTTTTTTTTAGTTTTTAAGGCACTGTTTGGTATTCTGGACACTGTTTAAGCCTTGGGATGCTTCTAATGGATTGTGGGGACTTTTCAGAGGATTTATATTACTTGATTCTAAGTGTGATTAAACTAGTTGATGCATGGTTTAAGTCTCTAAGATAAAGGATAAAACAGTATAAAAGCGTATGACTTAGTACACTGTTATCGGATGGGACAAAATAAATTGTTTAGGTTAATTTAGCAATTTGTTGGACTATAATGGGATTATAGAATTTGTTCTAAATGCATGATAGAGTCATTGATATATTGGATTGGGTCTATGCATGCTTTGGATGCTAGTTGTGTAAACTATTAAACTGTTTCCTGCAATTACATGGTTTAATTCTGAGATTTAAATTGCTGAAATCTTAAATACTTTTATGCAATTATTTGGATGGTGGTTTTGGGCTGTAAATTACGTGTTCATTATGTATACATTGTAATTTACCTGGATATGGAGGATAGTATGCACCGGTATGGGACGGTGACATACTGGTGACGGTTTAGCTCCAAACACCTAAACCCAACCTAACGGATTTAAGGAATGGATTTATAAATGTTGAATCCTAATTTTGGTTAAGACATGTCAACTGAAACTAAGTTGAGTGGCTTCTTGGATTAATGGACGGAGGTTAAGTCACATCAACTGAATAAGTTGGGTGACTAACCAGTTGGTTTGTTGTATGTCAGTTTATTAAATATTTGACCTACATACCCTGGATTTGGATGGATGTTATATATATGTTTATGATACCACAAGCTGAGCTTGAGTCTCAGACTCGTTGGTTAAGGTGCGTATATGCGGTGGATGCGTAGCTGGTTATAATAGGTTGAGGTGTACCATGTTAGGTCTAGGTACTCATGCCCACCTTTGGGTGCGTATTCGTATGTTACCTTCTATTCAAGTTGAGACCCCTATTATAGACTAGTGAATGTCCCTTAGTGTGGATATATTTATACGTATGGACTAGATAGATATTGTGAGGTGTCTACGGTGTATCTGCGTATCTGGTCATTGTATGGATTGCAGTTAGATTAGAACTTGCTCGTGGGTCTGACCCACTCCTTTATTATTCTTTTCAGGTACAGGACGGTTCCAGCCTTAGAGCTTGATCGTGCTTGTCAAGGACAGTCTCACATTCATCTGATTACGTAGGATTTTCTCGATGTTTCTAGCATTTTTTATTTTAAATTTTCAGTTTCAGTTGAACTTTTGGTTAGGGGTCCACCAGTGGATTCCCAAGTTGTAACCTTGAAGTTTTGAGAGGATTGGAGTTTTATTATTTCAGTTATGCATGGAGGGTTTTATAATTAATGTTTCTTTCAGTTTTATTCCATCTTTATTATTTCATTTTGTCATCTGTGTTCGCTTTAAAATACTTTAATTGTTTGATATTCCCTCGAGTTTGGGCCTGGGCCTGATCAACCCCGTGTCTCGGATCCGAGGGGTATCACAATGACCACCCTCTTCTCCCAACTCCCTTTCTCTTCCTCTTCTTCCCCTATCTTTCACCATGATTTTGCTCATTAAACCATGGATGATCCTTCTCCTAATGTCTCCCCACCTGTCCAACCTTCCCCCAACCTATTATGTGACCAACCCAATGACCATAACCAAAACCCTGCACCTATTGTAAAGGCTGGTAGTAGCCTTTAGATGGATGGTTCAACCACTGATTATTGATGACAGAAGGAACATTGTTTTAGCTAAGCAAGTGATTTCTAAGGCCCCATCAAGATACCTTACTGATGCAAGGAAGGAACTTGAAAAAGCCAGAGAGAAGATTTCTAATCTAGAGTCATCTTTTCTGAAGCTTCAAAAAGCAAAGATGGTTGATGAAGGGCATGTGGCTAATAACCATCCCAATAAAGGACCTACTCAGCACACTACTTACCCGAGGGGTAAAGGTAGATTCAGAGGAGGTTCTAATAGAGGTAGAGGAGGATCCACAGTTAGGTACAACAGCTACCACCATGGTGAACCAAGTCACACACCTAAGGAGATTGGGCATTACACTGGTCAACCAAAGTCCAAGACTGGTACCAACCACAGGGCTGCTACCACTGACACACCTACCAATTAATACGCAAACCCCTTACACCAAAATGGTAAGGTCAAACCTGCTAATTACTCTTTGGAAAATGACAAGAGTATGGTTTTAGAAGTTGGCCAAGTCACTCCTAGACAGCCTAGTTGGGCTGAGATTACTGCTGGACCAAAGGCCAACTCTCCCAAAATGGAATTTGAATTCATCTCACCTCCTCCACCCAATGGGGACCGTATCCTTATTGAACCTCCTGAAGAAGTTGCAGAGGAAGGAGCTGAGGAGTGGATGACCTATCTTGTTGGATATTTTATCAAAAAGAAATTGCCTTTTTCCATTGTCAAGGATGCAGTTACAAAGATGTGGAGTAATGAAGGGTTGGAATAAGTTATGGCTAATGATAAAAGGTTCTTTATATTTAAGTTCTCCACTGAAGCTGAATGTAATAATATCTTAGCTAATGGACCATGTATGGTGATGGGGAAACCATTATTCCTGAAAAAATGGCACAAAGGTATGGAAATGAGTAAAGAATCATGTAGATTCATTCCCCTTTGGATCAGATTTTACAATATTCCCTATGAGTATTGGACAGCTAAAGGTTTCAGTCGTGTGATAAGTGCTGTGGGAAGACCTTTATTTGCTGATAGGCTTACTGAAAGCAAAGCAAGACTCAGTTATGCTAGACTATGTGTGGAAGTGGATGCCACTAAACCCTTTGTTGAATCTTTCCAACTGAAGGCAGCTAATGGAATTTTGTTTGACATTATGGTCTGTTCATCTTGTTGTTGTTTTGGGCACCTTAGTAATATATGCCCTACCAAACAGACCATAAGTAGAATAGTTATGGAAAGGAGTTCTCAACCAGTTGAAGTAATGAATGTTAGCCATGAGGACCACATTACTAATGTTGCTAGGGATGATACTGCTGATGTCAATAGGGTGGAGACCTTACAAGTTGTGTCTGAGAATGTTATTGAGCGGGAAGTGAGCACTAAGGAGATGGAAAGTTTAGAGATTCCAAATCAAGAGGTGGTTATTCCTGCTATTGAATTGAGGACTGATGGAGGGTTGCTAGAGATGCCTAAGGCTAACCATGTGGAAAAGGGGACACATGTTGTTTTACCTAGCTGTTCTAGCTCCACATGCTCCTCTAGTTCAAACCAGTGTAAGGACAAGGAGGACCCTGAGGTCACAAAGCAGAAAACTAAGAAGAAGAAAAAGAAGAAGGGAGGTGAATGCCCTATTGTACCTGTGTCAGGTTTTCCAGGGGTAATTTTTCAAACCCTGTCTCAATGATTTTTGCAGCTTGGAATATCAGGGGTCTTAATTCCCCTGGAAAAAAAAAAAAGGAAAAAAAATAGCTTATTGCTTCTTCCAACCTCCATTTTGTGGCTATCTTGGAAACTAAGGTCCAAGAACCTAATGTTAATGATATCCATAAATTTATTGCCCCTTCTTGGCAGCTTCTACACAACTACCCCTCCTCTAGTCTTGGTATGATCTTAATCCTGTATGACCCTATCAAACTTAAAGTTCAGAAGCTTTCTTCTAATGTACAAGCTATTCACTACAGTATAACCACTATTGAGGATCACACTCATTTTTTTGTGTCTGTTATTTATGCTTTTAACCCTGTTGTGCAAAGGATCTCCCTGTGGAATGACATTAGATCTCAAGCTAGGAGCTTATCTCCCTCCCCATGGGTCCTCTGTGGAGACTTCAATGTTATTAAACATCCCAATGAAAATGCAGGTGGTTACGGTAAGTGGAATTCAGGTATCACAGACTTCAATACCTGTATTTTTTATGCTGAGTTACATGAACTGAGGTATAGTGGTATGTTCTACACTTGAACCAATATGAGCCCTGGAGATTCTAACATTTCTAGGAAATTGGATAGAGTTTTGGTGAATGACAGCTGGTTATCCAAATTCCCTCTATCTAGCTGTGAGTTTTTGCCTCATGGGGTATTTGACCATTCCCTAATGGTTGTTAACTCAGGAATTGTGCCTCCTAAAAAGAATATTCATTTCAGATTTTTTAATTTTTTGGGCAATCATAAGGATTTTTTATCTACTGTGGCTTCAGTTTGGGAGCAAAATGTGCATGGTAATATTATGTTCCAGGTGGTTTGTAAGTTGAAGATGCTCAAGATCAAATTGAAAGCCTTAAACAAGAAGGAGTTCAGTGAGATTTCCAAAAGGGTTATTGAAACTAAAAATGCTTTGAGTGCTGTTCAGATTGCTCTTGATGGTGATCCTGCTAATGTGGAGCTCAGAAGTAGGCAGAAGAATCTTTTTCAAAGTTTCCATGATTTGTCTGTAGCTGAGGAACAATTTTTCATGCAAAAGTCAAGGGTTAAATGGTTGAGTGATGGAGATAAGAACACTAGCTACTTTATGAAGACTTTCAATGCTATGTGCAACAAATCAAGGATTACTAGGCTCAGGCTTGCCTCAGGTGAGTCCACTGAGGTGCTTTCAGTTATTAAAGATAAGGCTGTGATGCATTTCTAGAGTATTTTGGGAAGTTCTTCTCACTGCTATCCAGGGATTCAAGCCTTAAAGGAAGTTAATAGTAAAGTGGTTCCTGACCAGCATCTTAATTCATTGACTGCTAATCCATCTCTTGAAGAGATCAAGGGCTATTTTTTTGGGCTGAGTGATAAAAAATCCCCTGGACCTGATGAGTTTAATGCAGTTTTCTTTAAGAAAACATGGCCTGTGGTGGGCAATGATGTTGCTATGGCAGTCAGAGAATTTTTTGTTAATGGGAAAATTTTGAAGGAGATTAACTATACTTATCTTGCTCTGGTCCCAAAGGTTCCCAATCCAACTTCTTTGCAGGATTTCAGACCTATTTCCTGTTGTAACACCATCTACAAGGTTATATCCAAGCTTTTGGCTAAGAAAATTCAACCTATTCTTCCTCACCTTATTGATAATTACCAAACTGCCTTTATTAAACATAGAAGAATTGGTGATGGAGTGTTTATTGTTCAAGAACTCATGAAAGGGTACACAGGCCAAGTTTCTTCTCCAAGATGCACCCTTAAGGTTGATATCCACAGAGCTTATGATACTGTTTGTTGGGAGTTTTTGGTGGATTGTCTTAAAGTCCTCAACTTCCCTCCTATGTTTATCCAGTGGATCATTGCATGTGTCACCACAACTGCCTTCTCTGTGGCTATCAATGGTGAGATGGTTGGTTTTTTCAAAGGAGCTCAAGGTTTAAGGCAAGGGGACCCTATTTCCCCTCTCCTGTTTGTTCTTATTATAGATGTGTTATCTTCTACTATCATTAAGTCCATCAATGAGAGTTCCCAATTCTCCTACCATTGGAGATGTAGAGCAAACCAAATTTTCCATTTGTGTTTTGCTGATGATGTCATTTTGTTTTGCCATGGGGACCTCTATTCTCTTGATGTGTTGATCAAGAGTTTTGATTCATTCTCTAAGCTTTCTGGTTTAAAGCCTAATTTGGCTAAAAGCAACATCTTTACTGTTGGAGTGAATGAAGAAACTCAAAATACCTTGGTTAATGGCTCTGGATTTGTTGTTGGCCAGTTCCCATTCAGGTATTTGGGTCTCCCTATTACTGCCTCAAGACTCTCAACTACTGACTGCAAGGTGCTTGTGGAAAGGATCATTGCTAGAATATCTAGTTGGACTTCTAGATTTCTATCCTATGCTGGTAGATTACAGCTCATAAAGGCCACCCTTATCAATATTCACTCTTATTGGGGGAGACACTTCATCCTTCCTATGCAGGTTACTAATTAGGTGAATGCTGTATTGAGGAAGTTTTTATGGACTGGGGAGGAGCTGAAGAACTCTGGTGCTAAAGTTAATTGGTATGCTGTTTGTAAGCCTAAGGTCTATGGAGGGCTTGGGCTGCCTAATCTTACTGCCTTAAATAGAATTGTTATCTTGCAACATATTTGGAATTTGTTCTATGATGGAGGCCAATCTCTATGGTATCAGTGGGCTCATAGTGTCCTAATTAAGGAGAAAAGCTTTTGGAACATCAAAGTTAATAAACTAAGTTCGTGGAATTGGAGAATGCTTCTTAAGCTGAGAGGTTTAGCTAGACAATTCATCAAGCACCAGGTGGGGGATGGAGCTGAAACCTTCCTATGGTTTGACTATTGGCTACCTACTGGTCCTATCAATTTGAGAGTTGGAAATGATGTTATATCTAATTCTATGTGGGATGCTAATTTCAAGGTTAAGGGTTTCATTAGACATGGCCAATGGAGTTTCCCTCCTCTTTTCAGAAACTTAACTAACATGGTTGATGACCCTCCTCCAATCAATGATGATGGTAGGGATAAGGTGGTATGGTCCTTGTCTACTACAGGTAAATTCTATTTGAAGCAGACGTGCAATGCTCTTCTTCCTCCTGCTCCATTGTCTAATTGGACCGACATTATTTGGTTTTCAAAACACATCCTAAGACATGCCTTTGTTACTTGGTTAGCTCTTCACAATAGGCTTTATACTAAAGATAAGTTCTCTGCAGATCATAGAGATGGTTCTAACCTATGCATCCTATGTCAAAGAGAAAACAAAACACATGAGCATTTGTTCTTTAAATGCAGTTATTCCTCTTATTTATAGAACTATGTTCAGCATACTTGTGGATTCTATTGTGGTGAACATAGCCTGACCTTCATTGCGAGATGGATTGACAATGTTTGGAATGATAAGTGTAACTCTATGGATGCTGTAATTGCTAGACTCTATTTCTCTGTGGCTATCTACTTTATATGGAAAGAAAGGAACAAACGTACATATGCAGGCAAGTACTCTGCTCCTTATATTGTTTGGAAGTTCATTGAGGACTGCATTCGTGGTCGGCTTCTCTCCTTGAGGTTCAAAGATACTAGGATTTCTCGGACTGTGGCGGCTGATTGGAGACTTCCTAGTTTGGTTATTAACAGTGCTAGTGCTGGTGATTAAGCAATGCTCTGTGTTGTGCTTTCTGTGTGTTACCTCTAGTAGTTCCTCCTCCTTTTGTGGAGTTTGTTGTTGCCTTCGGGCTTTGTTTGGGCCTTAGTGCCTTCTTTCTTATTGCTTCTTTTGGGCCGTTGTTTGATAGCCTGTATTATTTCTTCTTTTTTTGAATAAATTTTGACTTACCCAAAAAAAAAAACATAATAAACGAATCCATTCTGAAAATTTGTTCAATCTTTAAATTATTTTTCAATAAATATTCTCTTCAATTTTCATCAAAATAACATATTAAAAATAATCCACAAACTCATATTAAATATTTAATAAATTATACTCACATCTCTCAATAGTTTGAATATATTACACCTATTTTCTTTCTGTGGGTAGATAATGAACTCTTGCACTTATCATTAATGAATAATGTGTCAGTTTTTTGGATTTGTACGACAACTATGTATTCATATTGCCTTTGTTCTATTTCTGATACCTCATAATATCCAACTAATGGCATTTCCGTCAAGAAAATGAAAGTCATAAGAAGCATGTATTATTCCTTAACATGGACATGTCATGCCAATGCATCAAATATTATATTATATTATATTATATCATTTCATTAGGTAAACATTACTTCTAAAAGAAAAAGGCAACATATAGTATTGGATAACACTGATCCAGTGACACAAACATTTCTCTTTAATCAATAATGAGAAATATGAAAATTCAACTAAAAGAACAAAGAGATTATGACTGCGACTACATAAACTAATCAAAAGAATAATAAATCATCAGCAAAGCCCATCAAATTGCTGTGATGGTTTTCCTTTGTTAGTTACAGACATTGACATATAAATTAATGGACTCCCTATAGTTTTAACAAAACAATTCCAAGTGTACATATCATTTCTAGGCATAGCTGCACATTCCATATACACATGAGCTCCCTTTCTTGCACTTAATGTTGCACCCTCCACAGTGCTTATTGTTGGACAGTGGGTTCACACACACACCTTTGCAACATATCTCCGAGTATTAGCATTTCTTTCCACACATGCCACAGTTGAGTCTGTCTGTCTTCACACTAACACATTTCTTTTTGCAGCAATCTGGCCCCGGACTGCTCTTGACGCGACATACTCTAGGGTACTTGTTGCATGTCATTGTTACACACGGTGTTTGGGTAAGAAAACGTCCAGTCCCTCGAAGAGATTTTGGCAGTACTTCTTCGCTTTTAGGGAGAGTCGACGCGTCAAAATTATCAGTTTGAGAATCTTCATCATCGCCATCAATAAACACCTATTCTTCTGTAGGTGTTGCCAAAAGAGTTGTAGCCAAAGCCATTAGCATTACCAACACCAAAAAAAACCTTTAGGCACTTCATTGTTGTTGATTTTTTCTGTGTATGATAGAGAGATTTGCAATGTAGAAATAAATGAAGAATGCTTTGTGTGGAGAATGGAAGTTGATAACAAGGGTATATTTATAGTATAGTAAAAGGTTATAGTACGTTGTTTATTGTTAGTAGTGGTCTTATTCTACGGTTTCACATATAATTTAGGTAAAAGTTAGGCTTACAAAGAAATTTTGTATGTACTACGTACTACTCCACATTAGGAAACAACGTAGAATTCAAGTTTTCAACCCTTATCTTATAATACTTATATGTATAGGTTAGTAGGTGGACCTCTACCTCTACATCCGTACATGGACTGCCCTTGTTTGTTTTATCTAATTAATCTAAACAATGGATCGTTTCTTTTGAGCTATCAATAACTAATTACTATTGTTTATTGGTGGACAGGTCAAATGATAATTTTCTTTTATATATTTAGTTAAATAAATTAAAGACTTAACAGTTTCAAAACAGATATATAATAAAAATCACATGTGTTTCTTTTGAATTTAAATAATGTAAAAAAAAAAAAAAAAAAAAAAAAATCTTAATTTTCTCTCTTTTATAGGTATTTTGAATTCAAAGTAAACACATATCATTATTATGTAATTGTATCAACATTTGTGATAAGGGGAAGAATTAGGGAGTAATTAAGCAAATACTAAACAGCCACGGATCTATTGAGTGTTCGATGGTGACTAAACTCCTTAGGACAAAGATTGTTCCTTTAATGCTGAATTAGTACTACTTTATCACCAAGAGAATATAAACCAGAAAGCAGGACTAAGCCATTGCATGCACAAGCATACAAAAGCACAGCTACTTGTCTGTCTGTATTTCAAAAAACATTCGACTTTTATGTAACGGTTAGTTATTCGTGATCTCAACAACAGAAAAATGGTTGATTTGTCTCTAAATTAAATACATTTAAGAAGGACGGATAACCCAAATGGGAAGTCCCATACAACCAATATCCGTTTGGAGAAAGATCGATCATTTCGTGTGCATGATAAAGGATCGATAGATGATATTGGTTATGGGTAGTGTGGATTGTGGAGCCTAATAAATACTTTACGCCAAGCTCTAATTCCGAATTTTTTTGAAGGGTGTTTTGATAATTTTCGTACTTGTTATGTTGTCCTAATACGAGGGTATTTATTAATTATGAACTCTCTGTATTTACATTTTTTTTATCATCATAATTCGTGCAACCCTTAGACGTAACCCTAAATTTGGGTGAACTAAGTAAAATCTGTGTTCTTTTGTGTATGTATTTGATCTCTTTATTGCATTTTTTGTTTAATTTCGTAACAATTGATTAATTAATGGATTGCAATTCTAGGCTATGTTTGTTTCGACGTAAAATACTTTTCTCATAAAAGATTTTCTTTTTTCAGGTAAAATATTTTTTTATTTTTATTTTTTATTTGTTTGGCAAAGATCTAAGTCGAAGTTGAGGTCGAATCCATCGGATGGGACATATAAAACAACTCGTCGAAAATTAATGGGTAAGTTATTATTGTTAAATTTTAATATTTTTTTGCTTCATAAATATTTTACGATAATCAAATACTAAGAAAATAAATAAATATTTTACATTCAAATAAACGGAGCCTAGTGTGAAAAATACATATTTACATGTTTATTCCTAATTAATTAGTACTACTTCATCTTGAGAATATATGAAAATATGAAATTCACTACCTGTCGGATGGCAAATCTAGTGTGATAATAGAGGTAAAGTTTTTTCCTTTATGTCACCGGCCGGTATAAGTTTAGCTCAGATGTTACCTCATATTATCCTGCTGTATGTACAAGTTCTCGCAACAAAAAATAAAAAGTGGTCTTTTAATTAGACGACCAGTCTGACCGGATCAAGTCCATAATATAAGTGCCCATGAGAAATATATTATTGATTAATACATTATTTATAATCAATAATATATTATATATTATATTATTGATTATAAATAATGTATTAATATATATATTATATTATTGATTATAAATGCTCAATATATTCTAATGTTTTGACTTCTATTTATTAATTAAAATATTGGACTTGCTTTGCATGGTTGACCCATAGTTTTCAACTGGGGCGTCGAACTGTCGAAGCACTAAAACAATAAAAATTGTTTTACTCTTTTTATTTCAAGAAATACTTATAACTTAGGAAAAAGTAGAATTTAGGATAACAAATGTTTACTTTAAAATAAATAATTAATTATAAAAGTGTTGGGTTGTTGTCAGGTGGATTGAGTAGCTAGCGAATTGTTACCCTTGTCTAACTTTGATTCACAGAATGATCATATGGCATCGACATTCTAGAAAATTTTCTAGATAAATCTGTAATTATGTTAATCGTATAGAGTATTTATGATGGGTAGTGTGAATATAAGATTGGAATAGTATTTAGAATATCATAGAGTATTTACCGGCACACCCTACATATTTGATGAAATTCTCGTCAATTGGTGGCTTTACATAAGCCCCTTTATTGAATTGGACTTGGTGGTGCATAGTATGGCCTTGGTATTTTAATTGGAACTTGGCCTTGAGGTTAAGAAACAAAAGGTCTAGGCATGCCTAAGGGCCTATTTAGTAATAGGAATAATTCCTATTTTTTACTACCAATTCCTAAAATGTAAAGCAAAAAGTAAAAATTATGTTTATTAATATAATTTTAGTTTCGTACTTTTAGAAAGTACTTTCACATTTAACAAAGGAAGGAGAAAGTGAAGATTTGTTACTTTCTCTACTTCCTACACTGTACACGAAAAATACTTTATGTTACTGTAGCATTCATTGACCCATCAGCCTTGTATCACCCATTCTCACCCGACCATCACCCATCATTCACTCACTCTCTATCATCATCTTCTCATCCCACCCATCGGCGACGACGGAAGACACCACCCACCGGCGACAATGGAAGACACCACCCACCGGACTTTCTATCAGTACTGCTCTCTCTCTCTCTCTCTCTCTCTCTCTCTCGCTATATATATATATATATATATATATATCTGGACGAAGACAAGACGATGCTGATGAATTTCAGACCACCGAAATCGGAGTTTTTCTCTTTCTCTAAACCACTATAACTTGGAGTCTTTCTCTTTCGCTCAACCACTGTAACTTGGAGTCTTTGAATCGCAGTCCATTGTGTTTGCAATAGTTTGTTGGGGCTTTGTTTGAGTTTGGGTTTTCTGGGTCTTTTGTTGGGTCTTCTCTCTCTAAAACTCACTTTCATCTCTCTCTGTAATCACTATACTCAAACCCAGATTAAACCCTTTTTTATTTTATTTTTTTTGAGATGGAGACCCAATTTGGGCATTGAAGAGGGAGACCCAAATTCACATCCACAAGGAATTCATACTCCAAAGTTCTATTCCTAATCAGTTTGTCCGTGAATTCCGGTATCGGAGATGGAGATCCAAATTCGAGGCTTTAGTTTCCATGGATTCCAGAATCAGCACACAGTATGTAGAGAAAGATTGACACATATATACAGATGTATCTATATATAGAGAGAGAGAAAAAAAGAGATATATAGATGTTTGATGGGTTTATTGGTTTTCTTTTCTTCTTGTTGGTTGTTGGTATGTTCTTT